ACATTTTTGGATATTATCAGGTAACAGTCTCTCCGCTGTCTTTAAATGTCCTGCCTTTGATCTATTCTGGTGATTGCCCGAGCAATAACAAATACATTCACGCTTCACACGCTGCTCTCAACTTCTCAACTGACTCTCCTGTAAGGCTTATGTTCCTCAGAGGCTTTGGCCTTAAACAATGCGAGCTATTATGATCTGATACTGAGCAACTCCTAGTGTGGGTATTGTGTCCGCAGATGGGCAGGGCTAAGGCTGGTGAGTGTACACATTCAAGCCCAAAGCCGACAATGGAGCAGGCTGCACAATGAGGAATGACTTTCTTTTTAGCTTTCATGTGCAGCAGATAAACGGCTCTCCTGTCCATTCTCACTGCTGAGCCGCTTTTGACGCAACTTTCTTTGATGTCGTGCATGTGTCGCCTTTTTAGGAACACTCTGCCCTCTGACGCATACAAAGATGACGTGTATTAAAACGCTGATTCACAATTCAATTCAATTAATTGTATTCTTGTACAGCCCTCAATCACAACAGTAGTTATCTCAGAGGACTTTAATAAACTGTTGAATTCGCCAACACAGATCAGAGAATAAAACGGTTCAAACACATAGAATAGAGAACGCATAGATATTGGTCCATAGGGGGAGTTGACCAATGTCAACTGAAAGTGTTGTTGAATGATTGTCCTGGACCAATTGACCAAAGTCCTTTTAGTTGTACCCTCCTGCATCGGCAACAACTCTAAAACCCAGTGGGAAAAAGTGAGAAACCTTGGGAAAGTCCACATTGAGAGAGGGATCCTCTCCTCATGGACAGACAGCCTATAGATCCAGGACTCAAGCTAACAATAATAGTAACAATAATAATGTCACAATGAGATCTTTTCGGGCGTTTCTTTTTAATTGCTACTTGAGCTCATGTAACACAGGGTACTCTCTGTACTGTGACATGGATTCTCATGCGGTTTGCCTACATTTCTTTCGTACCTATTTTTCTATAATTGGGGGTCTTGACAGAGGTGCTGGAGAGATTTGTTTGTTAGTTTGCAACGTAACTCAACGGGTTCTAGACAATATTTTACGGAAATATTCAGGAAACCATAGATAGTGTATTGTAGGAGTGGACTGACCTAGTGTGATGTAATCCATCGCGTCAGCCTAGTGTGGAAGGGCCTGATTTGAACATAAGCTAGCTGGAGCCAATTTCTATTTTATTTGGGGTTTCCTTCCGCTGTGTTCGCTTCATTTACGTTTCATTGTAAGTCGTTAGGAGCAAGAGCGAGTTGGAGTAAAACTCTGTCCTTGAGCATTTCCCTGTTGGGCTTCATTGAGCTAGGGGGTAAGCATTTTCCATCTCGATACAGTTTATGCAGGAAACCTCAGAAATGGTGCTGCAAAAGAGGATGAAATACTTGTATGCATTTGTACATCAGACTATTGTTAAATGTTGGATAGGGACCAAAAAGGACAGAAAGTTCACATACCATTCATTTGGCTGCAGGATGTGTCGTGCCAAAACGAGTTAGCATTTTACTATTTTAAATATGTGAGTACTACTTTCTGAACTTTCTGTCCATTTTTGCTTCCCAGTCAACATTTTAACAATCGTTTGCACTTTTCTGGGTTTAGCACAGATGCACGACTTCCTCTTAAATCAATACAGTGGCTGCAGCTCATTCAATATTCTGCGGCTCGTGTTCTGACAAGAGAGATTTCACTCACATTATACACAGAGTATTAAAGACCTTAAAGACCTTCACTCCTAGTGACTCAAAAACCCTTATACTGTAAAGGCTTTCAGTCTGGTATCTTTCATATAATCCTATTTACTGGTTCATTATGAACCTGTGCACAGTTTCATATTCTTAGACCTCGACCTTGTTGCCGTTCCTCTAGTGAGGCTGAACGTGGGAGAAGCGGCTTTCTTCCATTTTATGCTTCTTGTAAAATAAATGCTCTGCCTAATGTTTTCAAATGTGCTCCAACACTGAAAACACTAAAAATTGAAACTCTGGGTTCAAACTTGTAACTTTTTTTTTTGCTTCTTAATTTGTCCCTCTACCTGTAAAATATGTGATACATAATTGAATGCAGAGTCTCTCGGTGTTTGGCTCATTGTGCTGCAGTTATGGTATAAAGGTGCTGTAATTATTTTGATGTTCAATTAGTTGCAGATCAGTCTTTAGATAAACTGATTCTGTTGTTTTAGATGTCAAGGTAAATTATTAGTAAATTAGTTGACTATTTTAACAAAACTTGTCATCTAATGATATATTAACTTGCTACAGCCCTTTGTGCTATTCAAATAACTATTCTATCTCTAAACAAACAACTTGATTCATGCACTGCTCATCATGGTGCAATAACACAACAGTAGCACTCACTTTGTGTAACTCACCATATTTCAAGATGACTCATGTGAACTCAACAAGAAGAGAAACAAGACCAGTCAGATCTGTTTTCAAAATCTATTGTTTGGCTTCATGTAAATTCATTTATCAACTTTTAGTTTCCTCACCTTTTTCTCACCCTTATCCTCAACCATTATTGCCTTGTTCTTGGGTTAAAACGTGACATGTCCACAAAAACAGATCTGATTTAATATAAACGTGTCCTAAGCTGCAAAAGCAGCATGAATGTCACAGCAAACTCCTGCTTTGATCGCCTACATGATGATTGAAAATCTTTGTCCACCTACTGCAAACTCACTTAATATGACAATATGTTTCACACTGCATGGCAGGGTGCTGTTGGTGCGGCGCCTATGTAATAGTAGGGGAATCACTATTTATGTTACAATCAATCTGCATTGAAACTCAAGAGACAAATAAAGAAAATAAGCACAACATTAACATTGATATTCAAATGCATATATTGTACTTTTTGTTTGTTTGCTTGTTGTTCTTGTTGAATGTTGATGTGTCTGTTTTTTGTTTTTAATAAAGGAAAACAAATATTTTTTTGCGCATCTTTTCGATATGGATATCACACGCACCAATATCGTAATTTTTTTGTATATATATATTTTGCAGCCCTAGCTTGTATCACTGTATTGTTTCATTCAATGGTGATATTTTGACAATGTGGGGGCCGCCCTAGTGTGATATTGTTTTGTAAATGTTCTAGGAATGTTGATTACATGACATGAAAAGGTATAAGATTGGATATGATTAGACACTATGTCAGTCCTAAAAAGAAAAATAAATTCTGGGAAAAACTGTTATCCCCACAAAATTACTATACAAATCATAACAATTAAGGTCAAACTATACAATTTCTGTCATAACAGTTTACATCTTGTGTTTGTTTGCTTCCTGGATCACTCACCAAGTTTTCTTTGTGCCCATTTCAAACCTGCTCAGCAACAACATGCCATATTTGAATCTAATATATCCCCTGCGTCATTTGATGCCTTCTAGGTTTTGTGTTTGGAGTTCTTTCATCGTCTTGGGCCAGGAATCTTTGCAGCATACGTGTTTGCGTATAATTATACTCCAGTTGCTGAGGAACGATGCCGTTAGCTTGTCTGTTTGCGTTTACGTTTTCATTCTTACAGTGCAGTGAAAGGTTAGCTTGTCAGATGGCAGTTTATACTTGGGATGATGATCAGATGGTGCCTCCATCACTATTGAAAACACCACACCCTGCAGCTAACTTTAGATCAACGCCTTGTTTATGTACACCCTTTTCTACATTTTTTCTTCTTCTGTTTCTGCCCTGGGTCTGTCCCCAGATTGGTTTCCATGTCTTCTCTGGGAGGGGGTGCTGGTTTATTTTGACCAAACTTTTTGTTTAGGTATAAACTTAGTTTTGCCAAAATGACATGGTCGATTTACGTGGGGTGGGGTCTCTGATGTTTAGATGTATGATGTTTTTGTGCCTAAGCTAGCTATAATTGCAGCAGTAAAAGGCTTCATAGATTCAGAAAATCTTTCCTTCATTTATCAGGCTTACTGTTTCCTGTGTTAACGATTCAGGGAAATGGTCGGTGCCCCTCTCACTCGTAGGCTCTTGTCCCTGCCTCTGCTTTCTAGGAAACCTCAGCTCACTCAGTAATTACTCTTCTTTGCCTGCCTTGATCTCAATCACCCCAATGACTACATTGTGTTTGGTTGAGCGCTGGATCCCAGAGCAGGGCTGGAGGTTCTGCCACATCTGGGAAAATGCTTCCTCTTGTTTCTCAAAACTGTTTGAAATGAAACAAATGGGACTATACTGCCAATACTTTGATAACCCTCATTACTATTAACAGGTCGTAATGCTCCGTAAATAATATGAAGACAAATGAGGGACTTCTGCTTTAGCTGTTGCAGGTCCAAGTCATGCATGAATGTCAAACCCACAAAGTGTGAATGCGATTATTTGTATAAAGCGGCTTCCATCCAATGTTATCTGTGCTTTTATACTTTAAAAAAATGATTTAAGTAGTAAAAAAAATATGACAAATGTAGAGCTGATTTTAAACTGTTTTTCTTCAAACCCCTGCTTTTGGGCAGATGGGCAAATATGAAGGAAATGATATATTAGTCCGATTCATAAAGGAGCTAAGGGGTGATAGAGGCCATATCCTAGGCATCATGCCAGTCCCCAGCGTCGGTATAAAGCACTTTGTCAGACGCAGTCGGGAAGTGCTCTGTACCAGACTAATCCAATTGTCTAGATTGATTAGCAGTTAAAAGCCTTTCTTCCTCTGTTTGGAGCAGTGGGCTCCCACTGCAGCCAGATGCGCTAGCCTCAGCTGCTGTTAGTTTCACTTCCTGTGTAGGGTTTCACTGGACAGGATCGATACATGTAGACTAAATGGATGAACACTCACATTTCTCCTTTCATGCCTTTCTGTTTCAGAGAATAAAAGCTAAATAAGGATTTATATTTATGGCAGGTTCTTCTGTTACTGTAGACAATATTCCAATAATCTATGCCGGTCTGCCATTGAGACTCTAAATGTTAACCTAATTGTTTATCCCATGTGGGTCCTTATTTCACCTCCTTATTCCCCATAGGATGACCAAATATGATGTGAAGAATTATCTGGAGAAGATCTATAATGTTCCGGTGGGTGTGGTTCGCACCAGGATTCAATTTGGTGAGTATCCAAAGTACAATATCATGGCGTCTGTAAGGTTATTCTTGGATATCATCATATTTTAGGAGTCAAGAAATATATATTAAAATAAAATAGAAATTAATTAGTTAGGTTTATTCAAGAGAGAAAAAGGAAAAAAAAACTGCTCATAAATATGCATCACATAATTTAGTTTGTTTTATTCTCAAAGAAGCAGGTCGCACACTCATAATGTGCTAAGCCTTTACTGTTTTGGTGGTTGATGAGTTGAGTCATTAGGGCCCCAACCTCTTCACTTCAGTCTTCATACGGGTTCACTTGCTGCATTTAAAAAGTCCACTGTATTTCCCGGAGCTAAACCTTTCAGCTAAAGCAGAAACCCACCTCCTACCCATCAGCCCCTGAACCGTGGGACCTTCTCGTCACTTCCGCTTCCACCTCCTCCAGGGTTTAGACTCCGAAGGAATTCACATTATTGTCTATTATCTTAAGTAATAGACTTATTTGATGTGTGCAATCTGAGCGCTCTTATTTCCTCTCTCTGCTGTAATGTGCGCAACAATGACACTGAAATTTCTCCACTGTGAGACTAATAAAGGCTTATCTCATCTTATCTGTTATGATGGATGGAATGGATATGATCTATTCCATTCACCATTGCAATATGTCATGCTATATTTCTGCCTGGGTCTAAACGCCAAGATACACCAACCGATACGCTGGCTCTTGACCACCTAGGTTGGCTGAGAACTTTCTAGACAGACTGCTCTGACATCAGCCAACTGCATTTGCGTGAACATTCTGCTACTCTACCAACGCTCCATTGGGGGTGGACGCCATGGGGTGGTTAGTCTTGTGAGTCACTGACTCCCGTAGAGTGAAAAAGCGCTGCCCACTGCACCCAAAAGCGCAGTGCCTGCGTACACGCTGGAACTTGGTTGTGTTTTCTGAACAAAATGACAGTACAGTTGTGGTTTGATTGAAAGAGAACTAGAGAAGGCTGTGTGTTGTTGTTTTGATTTACACTTTTTAAAATTAATTTGATTTTTGCCTTTTGGGTTTAATCTTTTAGTAAATTATTTTACTGAATTTCATACTACACGTCTGCTGTGTCTAAAGTTGGGCTGCAACGATCAGTTAAGTCATACTTCATGAGAGCACACACTTTGACTAAAACTTTACTTGATCAAGCTGAGCTGCCAAGTCTCATAAAAGCTTTATTCTAAAGCACAAGAAAGGACAAGGACAAGGAGGTGTTTTTGATTAAGATTCAGCCCTGGTTTGGTGGAGGAGAGCTGGACCACTGAGGAGTGTATTAAGTGAGGATTGAGAGATACTATGGTAAGAATTACATGTAGATGGCAAATATAAACACAGATTTACTACCTCTTATCAAGCTCTATTGTGAATTGTGATAAACTACCACAATTTTTGAGAAGACAACTTTATGTTGAGCTGACATAAAACAAAGATAGCTATGGTTCAGCTGTTTATCAGCTTTAACAGTAACTTTGCAAAGAACTAGCTAATCAGTGCACAGTTGCCACACCGCTTTGCTGAAGGTTCGGTTTACTAGATTCTTGGGCCAATAATAAGCTGCATGTACAGTGGGGCAAAAAAGTATTTAGTCAGCCACCGATTGTGCAAGTTCTCCCACTTAAAATGATGACAGAGGTCTGTAATTTTCATCATAGGTACACTTCAACTGTGAGACAGAATGTGAAAAAAAATCCAGGAATTCACATTGTAGGATTTTTTAAGAATTTATTTGTAAATTATGGTGGAAAATAAGTAATTGGTCACTTCAAACAAGGAAGATCACTGGCTCTCACAGACCTGTAACTTCTTCTTTAAGAAGCTCTTCTGTCCTCCACTTGTTACCTGTATTAATGGAACATGTTTGAACTCCTTTTCTGTATAAAAGACACCTGTCCACAGCCTCAAACAGTCAGATTCCAAACTCCACTATGGCCAAGACCAAAGAGCTGTTGAAGGACACCAGGAAAAGAATTGTAGACCTGCATCAGACTGGGAAGAGTGAATCTACAATTGGCAAGCAGCTTGGTGTGAACAAATCAACTGTGGGAACAATCATCAGAAAATGGAAGACATACAAGACCACTGATAATCTCCCTCAATCTGGGGCTCTGCGCAAGATCTCATCCCGTGGGGTCAAAATGATGAGAACGGTGATCAAAAATCCGAGGACAACACGGGGGACCTGGTGAATGACCTGCAGAGAGCTGGGACCAAATTGACAAAGGTTACCATCAGTAACACACTACGACGACAGGGAATCAAATCCTGCAGTGCCAGACGTGTCCCCCTGCTGAAGCCAGTGCATGTCCAGGCCCGTCTGAAGTTTGCCAGAGAGCACATGGATGATACAGCAGAGGATTGGGAGAATGTCATGTGGTCAGATGAAACCAAAGTTGAACTGTTTGGTTTAAACTCAACTCGTTGTGTTTGGAGGAAGAAGAATACTGAGTTGCATCCCAAGAACACCATACCTACTGTGAAGCATGGGGGTGGAAACGTCATGCTTTGGGACTGTTTTTCTGCTAAGGGGACAGGACGACTGATCCGTGTTAAGGAAAGAATGAATGGGGCCATGTATCCTTAGATTTTGAGCCAAAACCTCCTTCCATCAGTGAGAGCTTTGAAGATGAAACGTGTCTGGGTCTTCGAGCATGACAATGATCCCAAACACACCGCCCGGGCAACGAAGGAGTGGCTCCGTAAGAAGCATTTGAAAGTCCTTAAAAAAAAAACGAAAAAGGTTATATTACAAAGTATTGATTTGAATTTTTGTTATTGACCAAATACTTATTTTCCACAATCATTTACAAATAAATTCTTTCAAAATCCTACAATGTGAATTCCTGGATTTTTTTTACACATTCTGTCTCTCACAGTTGAAGTGTACCTATGATGAAAATTACAGACCTCTGTCTTTATTGTAAGTGGGAGAACTTGCACAATCGGTGGCTGACTAAATACTTTTTTGCCCCACTGTATGTTTATGTAGTATGAATTTGCCAAGCAAAAGATGAAATAATGATGAGTAAGGTTTATTGAGATGCATGCCCACTCATAGTTAGGACCAAGAACCTTTTATATACTCGCTAGTTCTATAAAAACCTCTAAAGGTTCTAATTTAGGGTATTTTTGCTATAAATTACACAGTGGGGCTTAAGAAACAAAATTGTGTGGGAAACAGTTTTGTGAGAAAATGAGAAATAAGCTTGGAACTTGACCTTTTGCAGATTTAAAGGTGCAACGCCTTTTATATGTGAATATCTGCAAATCTATTATTACAATGATGACAATGAGTTTTTTTTTTTTTACTTGTAAGAGCTCCCTGAAAATCAATTACAAAACAGCATGAAAAGAAAGATGACATGTGGTTATCATTAAGCACAGGCTGATGGTGCGTGTAGCTATGCCTAGGGCCCATGAGGATCCCCTCATAACTCTGGTAGGGAAGGAAGAAAAGGTGCCCCTGTTGGCCTAACATACAGTTATACCCATTAATGATGTTTATTAGGGTTGTGTCCATATAAAATCAGCTTTAAGGAACAGCCTCAGACATTGTGGACGGAAAGACATGTGTACTGGGGCATAGGAGCCTGGGGCCTCTGCTTATCCTTACATACGTCAGAGAAGGTATCCCTGTCTGCGTCAGGAGTTCCACTTAACTGGCAACGTAAAGACGCAGGCGGGGAGCTGTAAGGGTAGCAAACGACCCTTTCTTCCATCCATGGGCGGCATGAGTATTTTGGAAGGTGTTGCCATAGTTACCTCTCTGGCCAGGGATTTGTAATGTGATAGCTCACTGCCAAACCACAATCTCAAAGTGGGAGAAATTGTGCTTACGTTTGCAAATGTTAAATGAAAAATGTGCCTCTTCTAATACAGGTCCACAACATGATACAATGGTGATATGTTATTTATTTGTTACTCTTTTTTTATTTGTACAAGCATATTTTCTTTTAGGAATAAGGTAATTCCATAATAATTACAAACACACTCTGGCTCCCACCCACACTGGGGCCTCCATTTTGCCAAAAGGGTGTAGAGGTGCATTTTACTACCCTGCGCAGGGCTTTCCCTGGGCAGTGGGCTGTCTAGTGGGTGATTACTGGCTAAGTGTACCACATACACACTATATCCTCGTACACACCAGTGCACCCGCACACAAATGACTCATTACAGCGGAATGTTTCCCTTGTTTTTCATGTCATAAATGGTTCCCATGACAATGTTGACTCAACCACCAGGGTCTTATTGAAAAAAATTAGAATCATAAGAGTAATACTCAATTCATCCACATCTCCTAAAATATTTTGCATGTTGTCTAATGGATAAATTTAGAAAAATACAGTTTCCAAGGCAAGCCATGTCAAACAGTAAAGAACCAAGAGGATAACAACTCTCAACAAACTCAGGAATATATAATATGGAATAAAAAGAATAACATAGTTGATACTTGTTTCTACTGAAACTCATCAACACAAGCACAAGTAAATGGCAAGGTCTGGCCCCATTAAAGTAGTAGCACTGTCTTGTATTATGAATTGAAAATTCTGGACAAAGCATTGGAATGTCATTGCAAGCTTTATTCAACATAATACAGAGTTTTGCGTTTCGAGTTCTTCATCAAAACATTGTTGTGGGAGATTATTATTGGTTGGTGTCCAAATCCTTCCATAACCTGCTAAGTTTTTGCGCAAACAAATAAACAGACCCAGGTGTTTTCTAATGCTCCACAACACTTGGGAACTCCTGACTGAATATATTTTTCATCATCACTGTAATAACTTTTGTATGTGGTCTCTTCTCTCAAGGCTCCAATAAGAAGAGGAACCACCTGAACCAAAGGGTGAAGCAGCCCGACTACAAAGTTGCGTATATCCAGTTGGTAAGTGGCCCTCATTCATAAAAAACGTGTCTTCCGCTCAAAATCTGTCCAGCACTAAAAGAAATGTAGACAATTTTTGTGTGGTGTCCTTTGATTTAACTTTATATTTGGACGTATGTAACAAGCATGTTATCTTATTTAAAAAAATGGCAGATAAATTGGTAGCCGGCAGAGCAAAATCCATACAAAAAATAATCAAATTAAATGTATTTATCAGTTATTATTGTAGTTATTCCTATTGTAGCTCTTTTTTAAAAGTGGTGATATTGTGACATGCTCTTCCAATCATGTTATAGAATAGATTTGTCATTTTGCTGTGTTTGCTTACAGTGAAAAAAGAGTGAATGTTTATATTTCAAATACCATTTTGAAACAATACAGATGAAAAATGTAAAGCCCATGATATTCCATGAAAAATAAACTATATACATACACCTCTACCAAATCTTAAAACCTTTTTAAGAACCAACAAAGAGTTACGTAGTGAGCAAATGCAAAATGAAGAAATGAAAGTGGAACAAAGAATGAGTTAGTGATATATTGAAAGCAACAGTTTTGTGTTTGTCGCACCGCCACCAAATGTAGGCGCTCCTAGGTGTTTCATTACGTCACATTTAACTCCAAAGATCACCTTTCTATTACTCCCCTTTCATATGTGAAGGACTTTTAACGAGAATTGTGTGTAGCTTGTCTATATTTTAACCACAATATATTTCATATAATATATAGATTTAATAATTAAATATAGCTAAAGAGCCTATACCCAATCAGAAGCTTGCTCCTGCGCGTCATATTTGATTTATGTATGTGCCACAGGCACATTGAAGACGACCGTCTGCACATTTGGTTGCGGGTTAAGGTACTTTGTTTAAGGAGTGATTGTTCGTATTTGTGTGATCTGTATAAGGAAAGTTATATTGTTTTAAAATGCAAATGGCAGTAAAGAGTTAGGCTGCAACGGTGAGGAAATATTAAAATTTCTCCAGGGTCTACAGGGTAATTCAGTGCTTTTATATCCACGATAGCCACATGTGCTGCTAAAACGTGTGCTTCCTTTGGGGAGAAGCGCTGTACTTATGTCATGCTCATGACTACTTTATTTTTGACTTTCCTTTCACGTAGTGCTGCTTGTAAGGGGCCTTTCAATGTTGCAGAGAGTGAGTGCTTTTGGAGATTGCAGGAGGATGCGTCTTTAATCTGGCACGGACCACTACATTTGAACTAATGCCGAAGCGGATTTAATATTTTTCTTATTTGTCTGCAGAAAATTAGAATGGAGTCCTGTGGCGACAACATATTTAAAGCGTTTATTGGGGAGATCCACACATGAGCATGGTGTGTTTGAAATGGGCCTGAAGTTGCATATTGGTCTCCTTACTTCAGTGGCCTCATTCTGAAGATTAATCACTGTGGTAAATATGATTAATACTGCGATGCGACTGAGTAAAGCAATAACCTTTTGTGCTAAATTCAGCCCCAAGTTGTATCTATTGTTTTAGCCAGAGTTCAAATGCATGATTATAAAACATGGCTTGTTTAATTGCAAACTCACAAAGCACCTGCCCTCTGTGAACATGCTCCAATTTATAATCCACCACGAATGTGTGCATGGTATCGATACATGCAAGGACTTCATTAATATGAGGTTCTTGGCTTAAACAAGTGTGCAGTTAATTTTATGAGTGGTCAGAATGTACTAACTCCGCTGGTTAAACCACAGGGGCAAAAAAGGCAAGCGTAATATCCGGGCGCAGAATAAAGCAGAAACGCACACTAGCATGGTTAAACCCGCAGCTTTCTCTTTTCCTGGATATACTTCATTTAGAATTGAAAAAAGAACTGTCAACCGAAAAGCAGGTATCAATAAAGTGCCCATACCTGAAAAAATGTAAAGGGCTGTTACTTATTTGCTGATCGCTCACTTCATCTGTGGTCTGAGAAGAGACCACAGGGGGCAGCTTTTCTTCAATTGACGTTTTAAATTGGACTGATTTTATAATTATTAGAATTGTATGTCACACATTATCACAATAGCAGACACTGAGACCTATGCAAAAAGTGGAAGACCAAAAATGATTTTTTTCCATTAACACTCTGCGATGATCCTTGACTCTGCGATGATCCTTGATCCAAATGGAGGGGGCTACTGGTACTGTCTGCAGCTCAGTACCAGATGACACCATCGGTGAGTGGCTTTAAGAACTGAAATGATCGTCGATGTTGTCTTCTTCTACACCATCGCAAAATTATACATTTGGACTTTGCTAGAAGCAACAGACGGCTCGAGGCCGGGCTGGTCGTATCACAGCCGACCTCTCTTACCCTGCACATGGACTATTCCAACCACTCCCCTCAGGCAGGTGACTGCGGTCCATCAGGACTAGAACCTCCCGCCACAAGAACAGTTTCTTCCCCTTTGCTGTTGGACTCTTGAACACTTCAATCCAATCCAATCCAGTTTATTTATAAAGCACTAATAAACATGGTTGACCAAAGTGCTGTACATAAAAAGACATACACAAATATACATTTAAAAAATACAAAACAGTGGCAAAAAAACACTATTTACAGCAAAAAATCAATTGAAATCAATTAAAAGCCAATGAGAACAAGTGTGTCTTAAGATGAGACTTAAAAACAGGAAGTGACTCAGACAGTCTCACACACAGGGGCAGCTCATTCCATAGTTTAGGACCAACAACCGAAAAAGCTCGATCTCCTCTGAGTTTCCGTTTAGTCGGAGGAACCCAGAGCAGAGCCTGATCCGCCGACCTAAGCGAACGTGATGGAGCATAGGACGTCAGTAGGTCAGACAGATAGCGCGGAGCAAGGCCATTCAGGCATTTATAGACAAACAGAAGGACTTTAAAATCAATCCGGTAGCGAACAGGAAGCCAATGAAGTGATGACAGGACCGGAGAGATATGGTCAAACTTCCGAGTTCCTGTTAACAGACGCGCCGCAGCGTTCTGTACCAGCTGCAGACGAGCAAGTGAGGACTGGCTGATCCCTGTGTACAAGGCGTTACAATAGTCCAGCCGAGTTGTAACAAAAGAGTGAATTAAAATTTCAAAATTCTGTCTTGAAAGGGAGGACTTTATTTTAACAAGTTGCCTTAAATGGAAGAAACTAGACTTCACTACTGCACTTATTTGTTTATCAAATTTAAAATCAGCATCCATTTTCACTCCAAGGTTGGAAACTATGGGCTTAACAAATTGTGTTAGAGGTCCCAGGTCCACGGAGCTACTGCTCCGTGGACCTGGGCGGTCAAGTCCAGCAGTACTAGCGCCACCGTGTGGCCAGAGTCAGTGGACATCAGGATATCATTATAAACTCGTAACAACGCTGACTCTGTACTGTGGAGGTTCTTGAAACCAGATTGGAACACCTCAGGAATCTAATTTTCATCCAGAAATGACTTCAGCTGGGCAAAGACGATCTTTTCCAAGATTTTGGACACAAACGGAAGTTTTGATATTGGACGATAGTTTGAAGGATCATTTGAATCAAGGCCAGACTTCTTAATTAATGGCTGGACAACAGCATGTTTAAAACTGGCAGGCACCACTCCCTTAATCAGGCTATTATTCACAATGTGCAAAACAAAAGGAGCTATAGTGAAAAACACTTCTTTGAATAGGCGCGGTGGGATGGGATCATCCGGTGAACCAGCCGGCTTCATTTGACTGACCACCGTTGTCAAGCAAGAGAGTGTCACAGGCTCAAACTGAAGAAATATAGCTGTACAGGTCACAAATACAGAAGAGCCAGCCGGTGTAGGGCCGATTAAGGCCCTAGTGGCCACAACCTTATTTATAAAAAAGTGCAGGAGTTTTTCACAAACTATAATTGATGCTTCAAGGCTATCTGAAGGGGGGACATTAACTCATTGAATGCCAGCCTATTTCAGAACAGGTACTCCCACAGTGCCAGCCATTTCTGATGATTTTTACAGATTTTTCAAGACCCACAGAATATTGTGTACTATGACTGTCTGAAATCCTACACCAGATTCTAAAAGAATGGACTGTCTACTTTCCTCAGCAAAAAGAATTTTGTTTATAGCTTTTTTCGTTCCCCTGTAATCCTCCGTCGAGTAGAGGGAAGTTTTACTGAAATCACCAGAAATCACCAGAAAGTTGAGAAAAAAGAGGCACAACATGTGCACCTACATGTTTTCAAACCATTCAGAGAGCAATGCTGCCACCTGCTGGCTCGATAAAATATGGTCTCAAGTCATCCCCATACATATTAGATACAATAGACATCTGGGAACGTGAAAATAGCAAAAAAGGCAATTGACGGATTAATGCGTCAATGGCACACGCCGTTACTATTTGCTTTGACGTATTTGTGCGTCAATGGGACACAATGAGTTAAGAGCAGCATTCACCATACTATAAAGAACACAAGGGTTGTTCCTGTTGGATGTGACAATATCATAGAAATACCGTGCCTTAGCAGATTTGACACATTTCTGATAATTGTGTAGACTGTCAATAAGATGAAGACTTGAACACTTCTTAACCTGCCCGCCCTCTAGAAGTCCCCTACTGCTCTTTATGTCGTCACTTTAGTGCCCATCATACGTCACTTTACCTCACTGTACTGCTGTCACCTTACATTGTGTGCACCATGTGCACTGTATATTGTATATAGTAATTGTAACTCTATTTAAATTTTTATTTTAAATGTATTCCTTAGAAGGGTTTTTTATTCTTTTTATTTTATCTTATTCTCTCTCTCTGATTGTTGCACCGAGCCAAAGCAATTTCCAAGTCTGTGACCTCCTGTTACTTACGTGGCAATAAAAATGATTCTGATTCTGAGACATGGCAAACTGTACGGTGGAAGAAAGTTATAATCTCTGAGAAAGATTTACCATTGAGGGTCCTGATAACCCTGATGATGTTCAACTATATTGCCATGGCAACGAGATCCCACTTGAGATGTTTTCTACGTGGTATAGTGAGGCTTTTTCCTTCATTGGAACATTA